CCCAGTTTCTATTAATCCAGTAGGAATTTGAAAAGTAAATTGACGCAGAACATATCCCATGAATGTCAGACTCTGCGATGTATATGTTGAAGTTGTTTCATTTAGTTTAGTCTCTATGAAATTATTGGTCATTATATTCTATAGAGAGAACATATTAAGAGCTTAGAAGCTTGGGGGTTTTTGAGCTGATAGCGTGTACAGTGGGAATGACGCTACACGCAAGCTCATCTTTGTAAAAGGAACTAAACTCTTCGTACAATCCAGTAAGAATGGCATTTTTTTTGTCGTACTTTTTTACAATCTCCAGCAACATTCAACACTAAATATCTCCATAAAAATCTATAGTCACTATTAAAAGTTATAAGTTGTTCCTGAATTGAACATTTCCACTAAGTCACACAGTGAGTTCATGTTATCAAGTGTCTCAGTGTGTGAATGACGGGACGCGAAGGCTGATCTTTGGACAAGGCACTGAGCTGAAAATACAAATCCGTAAGGTTTTATGTTAGTTAAACAGAAAATAATTGAATCAGTAAAAACTCGCTAATGAACAGTATAAAAAGGTCAAAAAATACATTATTAATATGGTAGATGACTTTTAAGACAGTGGAGTTACAGCTTACAACAGCTACCATACATATTTTACTGTATATATCTGTGTTGAATATTGCTTCAGAGCTTCATTATTGACATATTGACAATTTTGATTATTGGTAAGTTACCAATGATCAATTATGCTGTATCTCCAGCTCTGAATATGATTATGACATCAATATATGTATAGAGTTTAAATCATAATGTTAAATGATCACACTCATGGCTATAATATTAGATAAACAATACACATATTAACAGCAAGTAACACAGCAGCATCAGCAGCATGTGTTGATCAGTTCTTGTTAAAGCTCTCTCTGATGTGTGACTCAGACTGGAGCCCAAAAGATCTTGTTTGGATCAGGGATTCACATCTCAGTGGAAACAAGTGAGTCCGCTTTTAATTCATTAAGCAGCTTTTACTAAATGTACTTGGCTACATAGTCTGACAAAGAAATCATTATTTCCTACCAACAATTAACAACCAGAGTGACTGACAATATACATACTGCTAATACAATTCTAGATCCAATCACTTTGAGTGTCTGCAAGTTTTAATCTTTTTTGATGAACCCAAACCAGTTACTGCTTTGCAATAATTATCTATTATCAGATAATAATCTGTAGTAATTCTTCCAAACCAGCAACAATCCAAGTGTTGAGTGTGACGTGTGTTTTTGTTGGGGAGTCTGTGTGACAAGTGGATGGAAAATAATGTTCGGCCATGGGATGAAATTAACCGTGTGGCTGAGTGAGTTGTGTTTATTCTATCAATTTGTTGCTTTTACTAAACTATAAAGCCATAAGACTGTTAATGTGATCACAGATACGCAACATTTATTTAAAATACACTGAAAGTACACTGTTGATAATATACACTAAATGTGTTGTAAATCGTAATAATAGATATGAATCTTAGTATAAATCAGAAAAGGTAAAACATTTTAAGTTTATTGTGAAACATGAACAGATGTGTCATCAGCATAATTAAGTATAGTTTTTGGATACTGCTAACTGACTGTGTGAATAGAAACAACAAAAACTCATTTTTGGATCTGGAATCAAACTTACTGTATTGTCACGTAAGTGCATTTTATAACATTTATGATAAAAACCTAATAACTTAATAATTACTACTAAAAATCATTAAGGGTTTTTGTGTACACGTTCCTTTAGTAATTAAACATTTTAGACTTTTACCGTTCTCAAGTTACATTATTGTTTTTTATCACACATTTTATTCATAACATCTTTCTAATATATGTTAAACAGAAGCAGAACATAGTTAGTGTTTATATTACACGTGTAATACAACAGAGTTTAGATTTGGTCGATGGTAAAGTTTTACATCAAATGACTTATTGCCACTTCTAATTATGTCTGAATAAGTCATTCAAATTTGCTTTACAGTTTAACTTCAGACCCTGATATTAAACTTTTTTAGAATTAACGGAGATCAAATAAAACATTTAAATTCATAAAAACTTTATAAAATGAAAACCAGCTGTGTCAAACATCTCTCACTCTCTGAGGTGTTTTTGCTGCCAGAACAATCTGTGTGTGAATGACATCAGGATTGTTTTTGGAGACGGAATTAAACTTTTTATTGTGACAAGTAAGTGCAACTAAAGAAAACATTATTAGAATAGAATTATTTCATTCACGTGACACAACTTGCAGCCGGTAAAACTCATATTCGGTGCTGGAACAAAACTTTGGGTAGAAAAAGTGAGTTAACAAAATTCAGTACACATCTCACATTAAGATATGTAGATAATTGTAGAGTTTTCCATCATGTCTCATTTTCACAGCAACTTTGAAACCATCAAATTTGTGAAATAAAGTCAGTAACTCTATCCAGCATATATAAAATATAATTTAGCATCAAATTAACTGAAATGCCAGTCAGGTCGGTGATATTCTCTTCAATATATACGGTTGTACTATACAGTACTAACACACAAGATCATAGCAAGACAGCAAACATTTAGAAAACTAATAAAAAATTCATTATTTGTAAAATAATACAAACTGGTTAAAACAAACAAACCAGTTTCATATCGATGAAATCATTAGACAATCAGTTTAATGGATACTTTATATTAAAGTACTGCACTGGTTTTTGTAACTGGTTGAGTTCCTGTGTGAATAACAACAACTTCAAAATCATATTTGGATCTGGAATCAGAGTGTTAGTATTGTCACGTAAGTGTATTCACATCCCACATGAAATTCAATTGTGCAACAGATGTGCAAAAGTGCAAATTATACAAAAAAGATGTAGCTCAACTTTAATGCCATATTAGTGTTATTGCATGATGACAAAACAATTGTTTGGCATGACCTTAGTGATGGATTCTAAACATTTGAAATGTAGCATTTCAGATTATTTTAGTTACAAGGTTGTGCTATATTATCCCTCTTTATACAGGAATTGCTTTATTGACCAAAAATGTTTTGCACTGATCAGAGGGTACTTTGCTTATAAGACGGTACATTAATGAAAAGAGACCCCCTGCATTAGAGAACTCTGTTGTTTCAATCTAATAACAACATTTTTGTATTACTAAAATACAAACACAAACTTTAATAGCTTTTATAATTATCTTTCTCCATGATTTCTGTATATTTAACACATATGAGTTATTTGTATTAGAATATACAACTCACAATAAACTTAAACATAACCTGGAAACATATTAATAATTAAGAGTAATGGACAAGGACTTCACCTGCACCAATGAAAAGCAATACATACAGAAATGACAATATTTCACTTTGTACATCAAAAAGAAATCCAAAACATTTTCTATAAATGAAAATCCCATTCAGTTTGTTGAAAGTTTCTTTTTAAATATCTGTGCAGTCACATCAATGCTGTTGACATGTTTTTGCTGCCAGACAAATCTTTGTGTGAATGACAACATCAGGACTATATTTGGATCTGGAATTAAACTTGTTATTCTGACAAGTAAGTGAGCTTATTAGTCATCTACTGAAAACTAATAATAACAACATGATGCCACAAATCTAAATCCCTTTGTTAGATTACAGCACAAAAGACCTAAAGTCTATATTTTCAACTTATTGCAGTTTTATCCGATCAAAAACAATTTAACAGTTTCAACATTTCTTGTTTTTAAACCAAAGCTTAGTTTGAAAACGTCTCCCTAAGAGACTAAGAACTGAATCATTCAACACAACAACGTGTGACACAACTTGGAGTCAAATTCATATTTGGTGCTGGAACCAAACTTACTGTTGAAAAAAGTTTTAACATATTTTAATACCACAGTGACATTCGTGTTGAGATAACATGATTGTCTCTTATTTTGCGTAATAATGTCAAACTAACTATGACATGGACTAAAAATTCTTTATCTACTTTACTTTTTCAAAAATATAAGTCATGTAGCTTCATTCAGAAAACGCTGAGTCGTTTTTGTAGTCAGACAATCTACTGTGTGAATTACAACAACAACAAATTCCTGTTTGGATCAGGGTCAAAGTTGGTCATTGAGTTGAGTAAGTTATCAATAAAATATGCACGTAAATGTTGACATTTGTATTAGTGTTAGCATCTGTAATGCTTTAAATGTTTCTATAAGAGCATCAAATGTTTTTCTCTCACCATTTATTAAAGTTGTATCTCAAATGTTTAAAGTTAAAACCAAATATTTTCCTTCAAGTAAATAACCAGATATACTTCTATTTTTATCAATACTTACATTTAGTCAACTATATACTACTACTATACAACTGGTAAAAGTTTATTGTACTACAAATACAATGTGAGCGAACACAAATAGATTACATATGGTTAGACAGTATGTCTGTACCCACATTGGCTTTTTGATATAAAAATACTAAATACTACACAATACAATACAGACAGGTAAGAATATTTTTTGTTAATGTATTACACCCAAACAGAGAAAAATATCGAACTTCATGTATTTGCACAAAATGGAAAAAAATGTATTTAAAAACAATTGTAAAGAACATACAAACTTGGAAAACACAGACAGTGTAAGTTAAGACAGTAAAATGTTCTAATAGATAATAATGTGCACTTCAGTTGATCTTCCAAAACTATAATAAAACCAATTAAAAGGACTTTCCAGAAGTAGTCTGCTTTGGGTTTGTAATTATTAATCTTCCTTTTTGAAGAAACTTTCAGCTGAAATGGATGTTTCAGACTGAGTTTCAATCACTGTGTGTCTGTAAGTGACATCTCAATTGTTGGAGTTTTCTTTGATGTACTTTGGGATGAAATGTTTTCTTCATCTGTTCAGTAATCAAACAGAGCGGCCCCAAAACTTCATCGGACCTAGATACACGATTATGTTGGCGATGTTTGAACATTATTCCTTTGTGTTTATGAGTTGTCCTTTTGTGTATTTCAGAGAATGAGTATGCGCCGTCCTACTACGAAGTGGGAAACAAAACCGCTTGCCTGGCCACTGGTTTCAGCAGATACAATGCAACAAAAAGCCATCCAGACAATCTCTTTTCTGATAAGACGATGAATGCTACTCTGATATCAGGAGACTCGCTGTACAACCAGGTGGTTTTGTTATCAGACGAAGGAAAATGTGAACCAGGTAAGTGTGAATTAAATAGTAAAATGACATATAGGATAGGATATTCAAGTGGTAAATGATATTATCATAGATAAATTCAGCAGGGAAGGAAAGTGTTTGGCTGCTGAAGTATTATTAATTATCACTGTCAAAACTAACAAACTTCTATCTTTTAACTCCCTTTCAGAGGGTACTCAAGCTGAGAACTGTGAAGATACGCTGGAACCAGGTTTGTATTAAATCTGACTAACAGTTGGTTTTTGGTTTCAACCACTTTGTTAGTGTTTTAGTTTAATCTTCGTGATGTTCTTGTCTTCAGATCCAATGGTGAACCTCATGGCTCTTATTATCTTGGGCCTCAGACTGCTCTTTCTCAAGACCATCGTCTTCAACGTCCTAATGACTTTTCGACTGTGGATCAGTCAATGTGAGTACCAAACTACATGCCTCTCACAAATACCGTCATTTCTCAGACAACCTTTTATAAAACAGACAGGATTGTGTTGTTCTCTGTTGTCTGATCAGCTCCTGCTTTACTTTGCTGTTGATACAAACTCAACACCTCCTCCCCATTTACATTGATAAATTCAGGTTCATCAATATGACATATTTAACTCACCAAAAAAAAAAAACAGTGGTCAATATTGTACTCAAACTGCAAGTACTATAAGAAAGAAAGCTTGATATCTGAAAATATTTCCATTACTAACATCATACAATAGCAGTTTCTATATATTTCTATATTATCACTTTATATCATCTTTGTTATTCGCAAACCAACTACAAATAAACCTGTTCTCTTCTTATATGAAAACTTTATTGAACGCAATCTGAAAATTTTTCTTCGGTTTCACCACGAGACCTGTCACACAAAACGAGACATTCATTTTTAGGCTTTTAATGTGAAACATATCCCAAGTGTTTCACATTTAAAAACTTCACTGACAGTAGCTTCACAGCAATAAAAAAGCAAAGTAGAATATTTAGTTTTGCTTTGTCCATCATTTCCATCCGTTATGATGATCTGCTCATCAAAGTGTTGCTTTTGGATGATTGCTCAAACCTCCGACTGGTCAGGGCCTTACTGTTCAGTGGTTGATTTCTGGTGAAGTTTAGGGAAAGATGAGACAGACAAACACTTATACATCCAACCATCACTCCGACCTCCACAGCTTCTGTACTCTACAAAATCATCCTGTGTTGATTACAAAATCTTACTGATTTCCTTTGCCAAATATCTTGTGATGGAAATGTAATTTTTGCCTCGATTAGATAGTGGGTTTGATTAAATATTTGAATAAAGACATTTTTCCCATCTCTTTCAAGTCACTTTTTCCACATTTAATCAAAGCTACCATCCTTCCTAACCAAAAGCTTCAATAGAACCATAAAAACGTTCATCATGCTTCACTTTACAGATGTGAATATTGAAAAAAGCCCCCCAAAAAAAGATTTCATGCAAAACATACCTGCGAGTATACAAACAAATAGGGTTGCCATTATGGACGTGATTTACAGTACAGAGGAAGGACACATAAAGACTGAATTTTCGTCCACGAGACATAAAACAAGTCCAGTTTATCCTGATCATCTAAACCACTGATGTGGAGGAAAAACCAAGGTGAACATCAAAGTTACTACCTGAAACTTTGTGTTGTAAAGTTCATTAGAGATGTGTCTTTTTATTTCCCTTTTGTGCTTGTCATAGTTCTTTAGAACATAACATAAATATTCATTTGAATCCTGAAGCCTAAGAATGTAAAGACACAAGATGCATACAAAATAATATGCAAAAGGGTACCAAAGTTATTTTACATTTTTGGCTCTGCTTTGACTCCGTACATCTTGATAAAACAGATAGAAATACTCACTCATTCACATTATCTGTGATTTCACGTACAGTTTTCATCTTATTTTAGAAACCTACAGACAGGAGTTCATGCTCTATTGACAGGATTTTACAGATCAAGTGTTTTGCGTCTTTCCCTGTGTCTCTGGAATTATCATGTATACTAAAGCTGTTTTGGGTCACATTAATTTAATATTGTTGTTATTATCATGTTTTATCTTATAGAAACTGCTGACCATCACCAGACAACAACTCCAAGACTGTGGAGACTGTGATCCAACTTCACAGAACGACTCTCTGATCTATTTGATGAAACAGAAGCTTCATTTCTTCCTTCATCTGCATCTCATACATCTGCATCATGTATAGTAACATGTATAAATATCATATCTCCTGTTAATCTGTTATTATCATACTGTTGACAGACATGAAGGTATCCTGTAATACACAACACAACATAATACATGAAATCTTTACTATGTTGAAGAAGTTTTTTTGTTGCTTTTGATGAATGAATTTCAACTCTTTCTGTCCTGCTGATGTAAATATCACAGTTACATTTAACAATCTGATTGTCTGCTATTTCCTGTGTGAAGCTGTTATAATAAAAACTGTAGAAACAGATTGAACGACTGTTGTTTTTTTATTCATAGTTCCTGTTGACATTGGCTCCCTCACACAGACTACCTTGCTGTAATGATAAAAGTCAAAGTCAACCAATGATTTTCCCTTTTTATATAATTTCTTCTGACCTTATTCAAAGACAACACATAGAAGCGTGTTTGATTGTAAACCTTCACGTTCACACAAACTGGACATTATTCTGATATGACCATAAATAAGACATTATAAAAAAAACATTATTTCACCAATAAGGAATTTTTTCATGATATTAAAAACTGGGTAAAGCTGACAGAAGAAGCAGTTTTATAATCTATGGATGGATTACAGAACAGTCCCAGGGGCCCAAAGTCTCAATAAAGACGTGGGTAAAGTTTGAATCTAACATTTCCTTTTTTAAATATACTACAAGGAGTTTTAACTGGTTAACAGTCTCAACCTACACAAACAATCAATGAAACGAGGTGGGAGAAACACATGACTCTGAATCTCCTGTAACAGCCTCCATTGGGGTTGTGCATGAAGGCCCCGCTGAAACAGGAAATATGCAGCCAAGACCCACTCTCTATGAAAGGTGCTCTGAGATAACCTCTGTTCTAATTTGGCACTATACAAAAATAAATTAAACTGAATTGAAAGGGATAACAACACTGTTGCCTAAAATATTATTACATGCTATAACACTAAAATGTGGCTTCAAATCATAGTTATTAACTGTATGACATTTAATATGTAGGACTAAACCAACAAAATCCAAGTCAGTTGGTTAGAGTTATTGGGTTAGATTGGATTGACAGTAACTGAACAATCTATCAACTAGCATCAGATTCAAATGTTCCTAAATCTTGATTGGTGCACAAAAGAACAGTAAAATAACGTGTCACTGTAGATTCTCATCAATCACAGTAAGAAACTGATGGAGGAAATGTGTTTTTTGGACCTAAGATGTTTTTTATTGGAACTAATGAGCCCAAAGCAAGAAGTAGCAGGTCTGTGCTCCTGTGTATGTGTGCTCATATGTCAAATATTAATTAAGCTAAATCTGTGAAATATGAAACTTTACACACTGAGATTCTGCTGACAGAGAAATTAGAAACAGGGATTACACACTGAGCATGTTTGACTGTCCAGACACTGTCAGTCATTGTGTTTTTCTGTGGAGGTGTGGATGTGCTTTCTGTTTGAAACAGTGAGTCAGGTGAATGTGTGTCATTAAACACACTGACTGTATGAAACTGAAGCCTGCAGAGCTCGACTGATGGAGGTGAACAGGAAACAACAGAGACGCAGCAGAAACACAATAAGGTGGTTTATTTTTACACCTCGAACTGTTTATAGGAATATATTCATTTTACCTCTTTAGTTACAAAGCAGCCATTGTTTTCATTCATTTACATACACCATTAACATTAATTAGCAAACTTGAAAATGAATCTGCAACTTTAAACATGTGCCAGTTCTTGTCCTGATTTCTTTGGAGTGAGACAATAGTTGGTGGGAAACACAGGTCAGTAACCAGATGCCAACAAATTGAATGTGGGACAAAGAATATGTTTGTTTAATGTGGAACATGTTGCTTATCCTAGCTCATAGCGTCTCTCAGCTTTGTGGTTGATTCAGTAGCACACAATACACGATGCAGCTTACAGGTTCATTTAGCATGTAAAGGTCAAATATATCTTATTTGAATGCAACTTTCCCGCAAGCATAAAAGAAAGTCTACGTTTCACAGTTCTTATTATGGTCTTTTCCGACAGTTGTTATAAGTAGTCTTTGTTGTAGCTGCATTTCCTCTTCTTTATGGTAGTTTTCACCATATTCCACTTACATTTACATAGCTTGTGACTTTGTGGTGACAGCTTTTCCTGTTCCATATCACCATATCAATAACAGTGAGAAAAATAGCTTCAGCGATCCTTCTCTGAGGAAACATTTAATAAGTGCAGTTTGAAGGTTAGGTTCTCCAATATTGTATCATCTGCAGATAAATATACATGGCAGTTCAAAATAGAATAATATTTATTTATTTGATCAGTGTCATGGCTATGTGTTTACCTGTTCTGTTCTATGTTCCCTCAAGCTCTGCCCAGGTGTGCTGATTGCTAACTGCGGCCCTGTGCCAGCATCAGAAGGGAGAGGCTTTTGGAGTGGGGACTGCTGGTGTTCCTGCCTCTCAGGCCCCCTTTCCACCACAATGCACAATGACCGGAAAAATATGACATTTTGGTTCTCAATGAAAACTTGCTATTTTTTAATCATTTATTTTTTGTTGAAATGCTCTGAAAACAGTGGAAAACTAGGTGCTTGAGTCGGAACAGTCAGCTCCCTGTTGGTGGGATAGGCCTCTCAGTGGGGGATTTAGATGTGCTTTGTGTCTTTTGATTGTCTTTAATTATTATTGATTTAGTGTTTTGGTTGTTTGTTTTTCTTTATCTTAATAAATCCCATGGATTTGGTTGTTTTAAAGGTAGTTGGGTCTTTTGGGTCAGTGGTGCAGTGTTTTTCATCCCGTAGGGCCTAACGGTGGGGCATCAGTTTGTAGGTAGCATGATGTAACCTTGTCTCCTGCATCTTTATTCTTTTCAAAAAGACTTGAATGGGAAAAAAGTCTTATTATGTCATCGTTAACATTTTGTAGTTGTGTGCCAGCTTCCGTCTCATAATGTCAAATAAAGTAAAATCCAAATGCACTCATAATTAACATTGATTCAAATGTGTGCCGTTAAAAACTTCTTCCTATAAATCTGACAGTCCAGACTGTTCTCAGCATCTCATGTTGAGTAATGAACACTTTTAATTTAAAGGAATTCATTTAGTCATTTGAAGAAAAAAACACTTTCCATATTTCAGTTCAGTTTCAAGTTCCTGCAATGTGTAGGCAGGTTATCAGTAACTTCTGTCAGTGTCTCTGCTCTGGTTTACAGATCTATAACTGAAACTTCACATTGAGTCTAAGTTCAGCTCTTTATAGAAACTCTTTCCACTCAGGGCGGTGTATCTCTGGCTTGATGGCTGTATTTTAATGAATTTAGTTTGTTGTTCTTGACATGTTGTGTTTTCATGCTGAATCCTGAGCAGAGCCCTAACTCTGCCACACGCTGTAGATGTTCAATGTGAATGTTAATAAAACACACAGAACATTAATCAGTGTTTGTGATCAGCAGAGCAGCTCAAACTGGATCGAGCTGCGATTCTCTCTGTGGTTTCCTGTTTGTTCTGCTGCACGAAACACACCAGCAGTGCACAGATAAGTGTGTGTGCACTCTTACTCTTCTCTCTGTGTGAGGACCAATTTGAGTTTTAAAGTATGTGTTGTTACTGGCCATTAATGTTGGTACTCAAGTCTGGCTTACAGTCGGTGTTTCAGATGTTGGATGGGGTTCCAAACCAAACTGGGAACTGCACTGGGGCATCTTCATGTTGACACAAAGTTGGAAGAAATATCATTGTATGCTGAAGCATTAATATTTCCCAAAAACAGATCCATTATGTGGACAGGCAGCCCAGCCTCAGGTGCAGCTGTCCCCTTTCAGAGTTATAGTTAATGTTTACTTCTTTCTATAACCAGCACAATATTTTACAAACCAGAGCTTCCATGTACAGATATGCTAGAACCCAAGGTCCTTGAGTAGGTTGTAGGGGGTCCACCGCAACACAATAGTTTAAGTTTTATCACATTTTTTGGAAGTTGGAACAACAAGGAAAGATATAGCGTTGGCCGTTTTGATTGATTGTTATAAATAGTGATCTTAGTTTAACCACTGATTGATCATGAAGACTTTTATTACTTTCAAATCTAGAAATAAAAAATAAAAATGACTCAGAGGGGGTTCTTTAAGACAAAATCCTCCTAAACTGGGGGTTGTTGACATGAAAAAGTTTGGGATGCCCCATTCTTTGAACTGTAATTTCCTTCCTATTAGTTTGCATGATATGGTATTCTGCACAATGTTGATGTTTCATTATGTTACCAACTTCTCAGCTTATTTCTCGACAGGGAAATTTGTCTTTGTCATCAATAAACTGAAAAACAAGTTGAAGTCGTCCAAGAAACAATGTAAGGACGATGTGAGAACAATAAACGTTACAGTTTGGACACATTAATAATGAAACTCCATATCATCAAAATCAAAACAAACAGGAAATGAAAGAGAATTCAATCATCTGTCTGACATTTTACTCATAAAGATGACACTGATCATTGTGAGATGTGGAGGATGTTCTGATGAAAATGTGTCCATGTCTATTCTGTGATGAACTTCTAAACACAATAATTATCAGATGTGAGAAAATGAATCATAAATATATCAGTCTGATCACTGAATGTGTTGAAAAGACAGACTGAATGGAAACGATGAAAACCACAGAGTGTAACTCACAGCTGTGTGTGTGTGTGTGTGTGTGTGTGTGTGTGTGTGTGTGTGTGTGTGTGTGAGCCACAAATACATCTCAGCCCACTTCCACTCCACCTGTTTTCCACTGGCACGGTCCCAGAGTGCACTCATTTTAATATTTCTAAAATAATAATGATATGATAAACCTTATTTATCACACTTTCCTTAACAATCTTACAAAGTGCTGTACAGAAGGAATATAAAAAACAAACAAGGCCAATAAAATTCAAATATGAACATGAGCACAGAGGTCATAAAACTACAGAATAAATAAGAACAAATAAATAGAAATGAAAACATTACACATATTTCAAAAAGCTTTTAAGATTTAAAAAAGATGTAGTGTGTCTCATTAGGCAGTAAATGGTAAATGGTAAATGGACCTGTACTTTTACACTACGTGCCACATTCACCCTTTCACACACATTCACTCAGTGATGGCAAAGTCCATCGATCAGAAACTAACTCATTCATACACATTCACACACCGATGCACTGCATCGGGAGCAATTTGGGGTTCAGTATCTTGCTCAAGGATACTTCGACATGTGGCACCTTCCAATTAAGGAACGACCCGCTCTGCCTCTGAGCCACAGCCGCCCTGTGGGG